TTATTTTTTTCTAAGTACATATATTTCGCTTAATTTCATCATAAAGGCAATATCTTCCATTCAGGCCAGTAATTAGTAAGCATTCGGTTCCACTCGGACATTATTAGAGGCTCAATCACACTGCGGGCTACCGTGAGAGTACTCTCCACAGAAATAATCTTGATATTCTTTGTGTGGTACTCTCCTTCAGCCTTCGCCTTTAATAAATGGAAACATATATGTAACATAGCCAAAACTACTTTTACTCACTGATAGATCGCCCAGTCAACATCGGAGATAATAAACGCGAGATTAAACTTTAAAACTAGTCTTAATTATTATGTCAATAACTTGAGAAAATCGAAAACAAAGACAACACAGTAACTTCCCTTTGAGGTGTGTTCAATAGACGGCAGAGGGAAGTTCCATTAAATTTGTTTTAACGCTTTTTTTGAAATTAAAGCAAACGGCTCCAGTTGAGCCCGTTAAGTTCGCTACGGCGCGGCGAGGGACCCGGACGTCCGATGCACAGGATATCGCCATCAATGTGTACCTCAGAAGAATCGCGTGACAAAAAACTTATCACCTTCAGACATGAGGTCAAAATATCAATTACATTGGTACATCGGAACGGGACGGACACACTATTATCTTAAAATCCGTTTACAACTCCTCCGTGCAAAGCCAAGAGGTCGCTCATGTCCATCTCGCTCAGAGGTTCCCAGCGAGGGCTAACAGATGGCTTCACGTCTGTATTCTAGTTAGCAATAAATAGATGTAGACTGTGGACACTTTAATCACACGTCTTCAATAAAAATGGGCAGATTGTGCAATGTTCAGACCACTTAATGTGTAGTAGCCCAAGAGCCCGCGACAGCCAGACCTTCGTTATTTTATAAAAGCTGAAAGTTTCTCTGTGTATGTCTCCAGCACAGGTAAGAACGACCCCCGACTATAGAGTTCCGATTGTGGTTACTTGGGCAGGTAACAGGCAGTAAAGGTATATAAAATAGTACCTTAAATTCGTTAAAGTATAAAGTTTTTTTTTTTATTAATTACTCCAGAATATCTTTAGAAATCACGATATCCATTGCCGGACACTTTTTACAGTTGCTACCCCCTGCCGGACACCCCTAAACTTTAATAAATTTTAATTATACTTTCGTTAAACTATAAAAGCTGAATTTTATATAGGTTACTTAGGGACTTATAAAAATATGTTACCCCAATAGCCAGACAGTTTTAATGGTTCTTACATCTTGCCGAACACATTGAGAGCCCGCTGTGCGAGCGCGAGGTAGCAACTGTTCATCCGGGTGTGAGTGAGACAGAGTGCTTAGTCTATTGTGATCTTTTACTGCACATCAGCTGTCATTTCTGGGATTTATCATGCATTCTTCAGGAAAGGAAAATTAAAACCATATAAAACATTAAAATATATCCAAAGTACCAGGAAGCTTTCAAGAATTTCCGTAACAGCGAATCAATTGAAAATTTAGATCAACAACAAAACATCTATAATATCATTCAGATTTATATGCAATGTTTACAATGTCCGTAATGTAATTGATGTTGATGCTGCTCGACTTCAAATATTCATCGACTCGTATACAGTCTCTGATGTAAACGAAGGTTTTGACCGAAAGAAATTGCGAATTTTTTACGTTAGCAATCTACCAACTTGTAAAAGCGAGCTATTGCAGCAATTTTTGCGATCAAATTATATATATATAAAATTTGGAATAGTGCTCATCTAAAAAATCCAACCTCATATCAACCCGGATAATAATGGCAGGGTATTGAAAGATGACAAATACCAAGTTATGTTGGAGATTCGCTCAAAACTCAATCAGGTATGTAATTATTATGACAAATTATTGCACATAATTTTTTAATTATTCAAATTGTATACTTTTTCTTGATTTTTTTCAGAAACTGATGGATAAGGTACTGGATATTGGTGACAATAGACTAGAGTAACTGTAGTAGCGACGATGAAGATAACGAAAATATCGACGACAATGAGGAAAATTATAAGAACGATTAAATATTTTTCTTTGACATGTAATAATATTTTGTTTGTACTTTATAATATTAAAATAACATTTTTTACTTTCTATAACATTACTATGAACGTAATAAAATTATTTTTTATTGGATATCTTAAAAGATCACAATAGACTAAGCACTCTATCTCACTCACACCCGCATGAACAGTTGCTACCTCGCGCTCGCACAGCGGGCTCTCAATGTGTCCGGCAAGATGTAAGAACCATTAAAACTGTCTGGCTATTGGGGTAACATATTTTTATAAGTCCCTAAGTAACATATATAAAATTCAGCTTTTATAGTATAACGAAAGTATAATTAAAATTTATTAAAGTTTAGGGGTGTCCGGCAGGGGGTAGCAACTGTAAAAAGTGTCCGGCAATAGATATCGTGATTTCTAAAGATATTCTGAAGTAATTAATAATAAAAAAAAACTTTATACTTTAACGAATTTAAGGTACTATTTTATATACCTTTACTGCCTGTTACCTGCCCAAGTAACCACAATCGGAACTCTATAGTCGGGGGTCGTTCTTACCTGTGCTGGAGACATACACAGAGAAACTTTCAGCTTTTATAAAATAACGAAGGTCTGGCTGTCGCGGGCTCTTGCTCTATAGGTATGTTTGTACAAAGTCCTGTTGCAGTTGAATGAGTCGCCCCGTGTCTGTCGTCTGTACACGACGCCGCCGCGTGTAAAGCGAACCATTCACTACATATCAGACGCGACCGGCCACACACTGGTCCCGCCAAGTACTTCATTCACTCTATTCTACATTCATTTGTTTCTCTTTCACAATGCCGCAAAGATTACGTTTTAAAGCTAAAAGTAGCAATAAAGGACAGAGAGATAATAAGTACCTATAGCCAGATTCGTAAGAAGTCCTGCGGCCGCTTACATGCTTACATGCTCACATGCTCGCACGGCCAGCACGTTCTGGCGCGGCCAGTGGCGGACCGACCCGCTGAACTGGTTCACACGTGAATGGCATACATAAAGGTGTTCAGAAACGTGGCTTTGACCTTGAAACTTTCAATGTAGATGCTCCAGGGATGCCAGACCGCTACACGCACACTCCGAATTGTATTAAAATTGCTGAAAATATATTATAACCAAAACACATTTGTCATGAATTTACACTTAACTCAAAAATTAGAACAATATCGAAGGTTATTATTAATATTTTTTAAGAGTACTGTAAATACTTTTATGAAGATGAGCCTGACTGGTTTTATATTAGGCAAAGCCTTATTCGCGGCGCAGTCAAATATTGCTTCAACGTCTACAACAGTAGCCACCCGATTGCAACGCTGAGAGCCTTGTTGGGTGCTCCCTCGGTACCCACTGCCCACGTTGTTGAGGCGATTAACGATTGAGATTTAAGACTGGACATTATCAATTATTTTCTTATCTCTCAGCAACTTAAACATAAATAAATATTGACCAAAATTTGGGTTTGCCAGAATTAATTCCAATATTGTATACTATTGTATAGCTCATACTGTATCTATAGAGCAAAGCTACAAAATGGTTTTAATAAGAGCCTACGAATATTACTCAAAACTATCCGAGTACAACGTTCCAACAATTCGGTGAAAAAGCGAGAGCGTGGCAGCCCTGAAACGCCGTATAGCTCGCAGGTCGCAGGTCTACAGCGATTTGTGCTGATGTCCCTAGCGATCCTAGCGTTCCTAGCGACCGGACAGTCACTCTGTTGCCTACACATATTGTCTAAATATACACATACATATACTTATGTAGTTGTAATCATTTGTTTGCGCCGAAGCTTGGACGTTACCACTGTGTGTGTAGTAGTGTCTTCAGCGCGCACAGAACCAAGTGCAAAGATCATCTATCTGCTTATCATAACAATTAAAATGTTTGAATCTTAGAAACGGCTGATTGACCGCATTTGACGTAAAAAGAGCTGTGATTATATACATACCTAGTAGATTTATTGAACTTTTAATAGAATAAAGCCAATGAATATGCAACTTATAGAGAATTCAGTCATTTCAGTTGTAAAACTATATAGTACCTGCAGCCTGGCTCGGCGGGCACTCGCACACTCACTGTCACAGTTAACTAGCTGGCCCAAGCAACTTATTACATACGAGTATTTTTTTGTGCGTCATCCATTTCAAAATTCCATATACCTAGTAAATAAATAAAGACTTAATTCCAGCAATACAAATACAGCTACATACTTTGTTTCGTTCATTGATTTAAATTATTTAACGTTAATCATATGACCTATGTGCCTTCATAATGTACTTAATTATTATCCAACAGCTTAGTGTTTAGTTATCAAGCATAATGAATGGATTCGTAATACATATACCTACCCATTAGTAATTGTGGTTCAAAATATTAAAAAAGAATCCCGATTATTGAGTTACCTTTGATCATTAGAAAATGTCAAAGATATAAGATGTGATGCGTAAGGCTCGCAAGAGGGTAAGAGTGAACTAGAGTCCGAGACAGATTTGGTTTAATTGCCTCAAGAGGTTGATATCAGACATGCAGCGAGAGTGATGGCGGGCGGCGCGCTTGTGTGCATACGTGTGTGTGACGGATGGCGCCGCACGCACACGAGTGCGCCCACCTGACGCCGCCACCGATGCCGCCGGTGGCGCCAGTCCTTCCCCGCAACCCGGGGCTCACACCCCGCCTCCGCAGACGCTATGCCAGCTCACAAAATTTTCCGGCAATTTAGGGAATTATATGTAGTTTAGTAACTATTAAATGGAACTATTTTATTATTTTTATGCTTGTGTTTAAGTGTTTTATTACCATCTTCGAGGGCTAAGATTATCATTGATATGTGATTTAAAATTAAATTATATGAAACGAATATTAAATACATTGATAGAAATATTTGCTATACTACATTTCTGTTAGTACATGATATTTTTTTCAATCTTATGTTCTTATATTCGGGGTTCAAAATCTTTACACTGCAGCCCTGCCCGAAAGTCTTCCTAAAAAAAGATGTTAATATAAACGCAATGTAGGGAAGCTATAAAATATGTAGTTAAATCCAAAATAAATATCGATAAATTTCGGGTAAAAGTTGAGTGTTGTGTGTGCAGCCCCAGGTGGCGTGCCGGCCGGCGCGTTCGGGCTTGAGCGGTCCATCCCGTCAGTCAGTCGAGTGATCGCACGCGGTGCATGATGTTGTGTGGACGGCGCGCTCGTGTATCATGGCGCTCGCGTAGTGACGCCGCGGGCGGCATGTGATGTTCCGGCGTCGCGCGCTGCGTCGGCGGCTGGCGTCGCTAGGAGTAGCGGCGGTGCCTGACGACGTGCTGCGAAGGCTGGCGCGGGCGCTGGACGCGGGGCCCGGCGGTGCCCTGTGCGTACCGCCCGCGCCGCCTGATGACCGTAGGCTGCGCCTCGCGCTCGCCAGGGCCTTCTGCTTCCCAGACCTGCGCGACCTGTCCGAGCTGCGTCGGATGCCTCACTGCACCGACAATTCCTGCTGCAACCCTTACCACTGGAGTCGTCTCTGCAAACCCGGTACGTGCCTCTCGCGCCGGCAACAAGTGCATTCAACAGTGTGATCTGCCGATGAGATCGTTTTCTTAAATAGATTCTGGTGTCAGTGTACGGATATTCGTGGAATGAATGCCATTGTCGCTTTTAACGATGAGTACGGTTCTCTCATAATCTAAAATAAAAAAATCTAACCTAACTTTGATGCGACTAGTACAATCACTAATCACTGTTACGATTTACTAAAAGATACGACCGTGTCTCACGTAAATAACATTTGTGTGTCGCCACTCAGTACTCAGTCGCCACTCGCCACTCGCCACCCGTCTGCCTGCTGCCTGCTGCCTGCTGCGTGTTCCTAATTCGAAAGATAATTTTGATCAAGAGTGCGTGCAATGAATAGTTTTCCATCGAATCATTTGCGTTTGGTTTGTCGACATTCTCACACTAAAGTTAGCAGGCAACTTCACGTGGGTTACATCAGGTTATCAGTGCTAATCGTTATCAGCGTTATCGCTACTGTTTGTTTCTGTATCTATAGTTACGTTAGCGATGACGTCAGCGTGGCCGCGCGTGGCCGTTCACATACACACTGCGGACTAGTACTGAGCATTACTGAGCAATCAACACCGCGCATCAACAACTCGTGTTCGTACAGACTACTGCAATGTGGCATTACTAATTGACCGCGTACACTGTTGCGTAGGTATTTTGCAATATACTTTAAACATCTAATTGTGCCATTACATATTTGTATAAAAGTTTCACTTTAAATATTTTACCCAGAGCAATATATACAATATTATAATGCGAATATTTGTTAAAATTGAGTTGCGCAGTTTCCGATATCAGGAGTCTGTGCGCAGAGAGGTGTCAAGACGAGAACGAAGTAGTTGCGTGTGCGCGCAAAGCTAGCAGCTATCACCTAATCTCGAGTCGAGTGAGGCGAGTGAGTCGAGTGAGGCGAGGGTCATTCGTTTGCGATAAGTAGACAAGGTCAGGTCGCTGGCGCCGAGGTGCCGCGCCGCCCGACGCCCCGCCTGCCTTCACTTTTAATTTGTCAGACTATAGAGTGGCGGCACGGGTAAACGCTGCATTCCACTTCCTTATATTTCCATTCGTCTGCACACCGCCAGTATGTCCCGTTTTGATTGCGTTCGTTTGTGGAATCGGCTCAGATTACAGGAACTTATCCTATATTGATAAGTTTTTTCATCTATAATAAAGAAGTTTTAGAGATTTTGGCGCTCCGAACGGCAAAGGTTTCTTCGTTTATTCTGAAAGTTCTCTTCTCTATTCACTTCTCTACTTCTGAGCAGTCGACAACACAAAAGCGGTGTTTTAAATTCGCTAATGTCACTTGGAGTATCTTAAAAACCGTTTTATCAAACACATAATTACGATTCAATACTATAATTTGACAATATTTTTTAAATTCCTCAAAAACGGGTACTTACACACCGACTCACCGATCCATTATTCCTGTAAACCTGTAATTGTAGGACCTCGATGATGGCTGCTAGTATTGGTAACAGATACAAGGCAGCTTCAGAAATTCCCGTCTACATTTAATAACTGACGAACGTGTTCAAGCGTGCTTCTGTTCCTTATCCTGTACTGATGTTTGTCGTGAGATTATTTATTTACTTTACTGATTTCGACGATAATGTCAAACAGGATTATATTTTCATAGTACCGTCTATAATTATGATACATCGAACGCTCCAAGGGAGTGGTGCCGCAGTGGTCGCGGTGGGTGCGGGTAGCCCGCGGTTATGAACAACTGTGACACCGACTCGCGCTCGACCCGCCCCCTGGACCACGACACACTCCTGACACTGGCACTACTGCTCTGTCGATGACGTGTGGCGCGCGACAACATCACCCTGACTAATTCATTAATGCCTCCCAATATCCAATTTATCATGCTGTTATTGTACTGCACCGGGGTGCGCTTGGTTGTGTCTTGGGTGCGTAAAGAGTACTCACTGACAGTAACGGTCACTTCGCGATACTAGATCATATCCAATAGCCCCACTCTGGTCGTTCCACTCTAACAAAACCGCGAACACCTTAGAAGAAAAAGTTCCACGACGGAACACTTATAGCTGCTACTGACCCATCTTGGGATGTCAAATGCAATAGTATTTGACAGGTCGGATTCGGCTGTCACATCTCGATGTCATCCAGTCATCATGCCATCTGGATCCAGCTGTCACACATACAAATCAAACATCCACCCCTCTAGGGGCCGTTACTGTATTTCTGTCTGTATCTGCTCTCTCTGTGAGAGGTTGCAAGAGTTGCAGAGAATTCATTCTTATGGCTCATGGGTGGGCGGCGCATTCACGTCGTGGTGTCGCTCGGGTCCGGCACCGGCCGAGGCCCAGTGGACTACGTGCGTCTATAGGAATACGAAACTATAATACACTATATGATCAGAAATTAATGATTCAGCAGTAACGCTTAATGTTTTTTGAAAGAAAATATTCATCTGATTATTTTGCGACAACAAATCTCGGCTTTGAGGTGTGATTCAATAATGATTCCGCTGTAGAAACGCAAGCGCTCATTAGCCGCTGCTCAGTGGCGGCTGCCTCTACCGCTGTGCACTCTCTGTTGCGATCGAACACAAATCATTTCGGAGTTCGATAAATCAGGAATGCACCGTCGCACGGTGAGGCTGCTTATCAACATCTACTTTGTGGATTAGCATAGGTTAGGACCCGACCAGCAGGCCCTGACACTGCTGGCGTCCACGAGCGACGAGCGGCATGTTCCTCTGCTCACGATGACAATAAACAAACCGTGACCACCGCGCATACATGGATCCCAGTTTGATTCTCAATGTCTTGAATGTCTTCTTCATGAAATGGTTAAACGACCTACTTCAATGCATTGCTATGCGCTTAACTACCAATTAAAGTACTGTGGGGCCGGAAGAACACAGTTGTATAATGTAGTGTTCAATATAAATAAACTATTTAGAATTTCAATAAAGTTTTTCCACATCTATCAGTCATATAGTGTAGATCCCGTTAGAAAACTCTCCTGTTGTCTGAACAGTTAGATGTGTTTTGTGATAAGGGACAAGGTTTGTTCCAGACATGATGTTATTGATCTGTGTTTTGTGAGATTCGAATCGAATATACATTTGCCAAGGAATAAAAAATGAATACCATACTTTCTGATGCGGATACCTCATTATGGATGTGGCCATCCAAATAAAGAAATTAATCACCAAAAACAAGCAAAAACCTGTAGCGGTCCAGCTGCGCCGGTAATTGTCGCGCCCGCGGACCGGTACGCGGTGGACCTCACCTGTGCAGTTTTTTGTGAGGTCTGCGCCGGCGCGGCGCGGCGGCTCGGCTCTCGGCGGAATTACGTCGCCGCACTTTTTGTTAACTTTCGCAGTCTGTGCCCGTTCGAAGCTCATCCAGCTTCGGTAGGCGTATTGAGAATTCCTACAACTTCCCGTGTCGCAGCCGGGTCATGAGGCGAATTATTTTAGGCTTTATACTTTGTTTGTTTTTTGTAAGGTTTTATTTGTATAAGCAATTGGTCACTTGTGAATTCGCATCTTTTATTATATTTTTATTTTTAATATTATCTATCCTATCGCGTGTTATCTACAATTATTATAGAATTGAAGTTGTAAGATACAAGCGGCCTACTCCGGCTCCGCTCGGGTCTTTAACAAAAATTTCAACGATATTTGATGTTTTATTTTTTTAAATAAAAGAACACTATTGCGGTATAACCATAATAGTTATACATATGCTGTCGGGACACTTTTTGTAAATACTCGTAATAATGTGTTCTACAAAGTCGTAGTACATTATTTTGTTTTATCATCAATAGTTTTCGCAGGGCACGCGATGTAATGAATACTTTAAGTAATTTTTTTAATCCTTTGGTTCATTATTGGAGTTTTAGTAAGGAACCCTTATTTTTTACAAAAAGATATAGCCTATGTCACTCAAGAGTAGTGTAGCTTCCAAACAGTGAAAGAATTTTTCAAATCGGTTCAGTAGTTGCGGAGCCTATTCAATACAAACAAACAAACAAATCTTTCCTCTTTAAGTATAGAAGTATAGATAGATTACGAGTAGTATAGCAGTATAGATAATGTGGAGCTTCTTGAGCCCGACAGATTCTGTTGTTCTGTTGTGTAATTCTGTTGTAGGTAAGAACCTAGGTTTGCTTCATGTGTTTGGTCGAGAAAAAATTAGATCAATTTTGTTGAAGCTTCTTTTAATCTTATTAGTAGCCAATAACGTATGTATTTCCTATTTTTATCTCGCTATAATGACGAAAGACGCAACTAATTTGAAATCGTATAAATTTGCAATGTATGAAATCACAGATATACTCTATTCAATAATTTTATCTATAACTATTAATAAATAAAAGTGAGTCGATCGCTCATAAGGGTAAATCCACTTGAATAAACTCAAGGTTGGTAGGGTTTTTCTCAAAACTTCTCTTTTATGTCTTCAGTAAGCAGTGTATATCCCAAAGACGATGTTTTTAATTGTAACTCTGTTTTATCTACTTTTACCTGAAACTTTGCTGAGACTTTTATCGACAGTTATTGTAATTTTCATGGAACAAAAGACTAGTGTTGATATGTTATAATTATTGTTCATAACTAGCCTATGATTGTCATTCTGCATAAACGCAGGATTCAGCAGGGGTCAAATAAAATATACCTAATATAAATGAAAGCAAAAATAGTAGGTTATTTCTGCATCTAAATTTACTGAATATACATATATATCTCCTCGTCTAGTACTGAGTACTAACTGACGAACAATGTATTTTCAGAGCTCGGCCAACAATCATAAACAACAATCTTTAGAACGCAGTGGCGCATTACATCCGCCAAGTGGCGCCAACCGCTCCGGCTCGCGCCTCTCCTTGCCTCTTGCCTCTTGTGAATGTCTCTATGTAAACCGTCGGTGTGCTCGCGGGCGGAGGAACCGGGGAGGGGATACTTATCTTATCCTCGACGGGCGACGGCT